CCCCGGTCCCTCTCGCTCTCCCTCACGGCCCCTCCGTGCCCACAAAGCTGCCCATGGCTGTGTTTCAGCTATCGCACCGCTCGGGAGTGTTTTGAGAAGGATCTCCCCGTTCCCAGCGCCCACCCAAAGGTGCCACAAGCACAAAGCCCCACGGGGACATCGCGGGCAGGGACCGAGGCGGTGACACGGCCCCGCTCGGGAGCTGCGCTTTCGGGAAGGGAGATTGTGATGGGGAAMGACTGCGCTCCTTCAGGGAAAAGGAGAGTTAAAACCAAAGCGAGGGTCTCCCCAAAACAAAGGTCTGTGCAGGCATGCGTGGTTGTGTTTTGCTATTATTTTGAGAGGTATTGTGTGTCTGGGTCTGGGTTAAAAGTAACCCAGAAAGGTTAACCTGCAAGGTTATTTTTAATGTTGAATTCAGTAACCTCGTCTACAGGGCAGCCTCGGAATCCAAAGGGATGACCCTATTGACGGTGGCCAGCATTATTGAGAGGGCAGAAAGGAACATCCGGAGGGACTGGAAACTACACAGAGGACAAACAAATTGCTGATATTTTAGGTTTTGCTTCTGGGATGSCAACAGCCACCTGAAGCTGAAGTCWGCATAAATCATATCTCAACAATTYGATCCTACAGTCTCTTAATACAGCCTTACCAAGCAGTCATTCACAGAAATAAAGAATTTCAGATTCCACAGCAAGTAATGAGGGAACTCTGACTACAGCTTGCAGTCTTTGTCCTCTGTTGACCAGAGGAACTTGAGTGACAGAAGTTCAAAACAAGACACTCCAATGTTACTTTTAGTTTATAAAAGCAGTGAATGCCCCCTAAGAAAAACAGTAGCCAACCGGATCTGGACAGATTCCAAATCTTCAAACCTTTCGGAGCAGTCCCTCTGGGTAACTCACCAACACAGAGGAAACTTCACACCAGTGTGGAGTCTAGCAGAAAGTGGGGAATCGGCCAAAACTTGCATTCCTGTGGCCAGTCTCCAATGAAAAAATGGTTCCTAGTCAAAAAAGAAAAAGGACGACAAGCACTTAAATAAGAAAATGCAAATAGTTAACTCTAGAGGAGTTGTTCTAAGGTTAACTCTGATAGACCAGTGCACATAAGATTTGTTGTCTTCTTGTTTCAATAAGATKTAGTGAAGAAAAAAAGAAAATGGAGAGACAACAAACATGTTGATACTTTTAGATAGACTAATCTTGTGAAAGGAAACTTGCTTGTTGTACCTGGGGATGAGACATGGGACTCTGTGGGCAAYTCAATTAGCTAATTCATGCCTTAGTGCTTTTTTTGTCAATACAGGAAAGGGAATCAATATTTCTTTATTGTGCAGAATTATTGCAAACTTGCCTTCAGTGTGCCATGCAAAGTACATTCAATATTATGGAAAAAACAGAAAGACTCATAGATAAGAACCAGCATGTGAATAACAGAGAATCAGACTGAAAGGTGGTGGATACCCTCTGCTGCTGCTCATGGAGCATTGGACCAGCAAAGGGTGTGCCTTGGGAGGAGAGGGGGAGGCGTGCAAGAAACACAATGTTCCCTGGTTTCTTAGGATCAGCTGACTTTGAACAGGGGTGAGAAGATGGTGCAGGGCTCCCAAGAGCAGAAAGGAAGGCGAAAAGGAGGAAACAGGGAGGTGTCAGTCAAGACCAGTAAATTCCTGACCCTTAGAGACAAATACCCAATGCCTGATGCTTCTGGCAGAGCTGCCTGGTTGAAAAGCAAGAGAGATCTAAGAAAAACATTTGAGTCCAGATTTGAAAGAAAGCATGCCTAGATTTCCTTTATTTGAGCATGTCTTTATCTGAGACACAGATCCTAAACTAAGCACGGATAAGCTGTTCCAAGAAACTCTAAAGCATTCCCAACACTTTGGTTAAAGCAGCAGTAGGGAGAAATCTGAGGCAGGACCATGGAAATTAGCAACTTTTACTTCTTCCTTCTTTTGCTAAAGTAGGATCCTTTTTTAGACGTTTACTTCAGGAGAAGGACAGGTTTTTTTTGTGTGTGGATTGCTGAATGGGTGAGACTCAGCCCAGCTCTAAGGGATCAGCACAGAGAAGCTGGAGGAAYATGCTCCATTTGGCAAATATTCCAGCTGTCTCCCATCTCCCTCAAAATACCCTTATAACTAAAGATGCATTTGGCACTGGCTGGACATGAGGGTGCCACAGGAATGGCAGCTATTTCAAATCGTTTGATGATGAGTTTCCTCTTCACTGTGCCAAGAAGAAGACAAAGTCTTGGCTGCTTGCTTTACAGAGCTGGTCTGAACGCTGGGTAGGAAGGGGCTGCACAGAGCCTGAGCACCTGCAAAATGTCCAGGAGGAGTTTTWGGTGCTCCAAAGAGCATTCAAACAAAAGCCTCCTCACAGCCTGAAATTCAGCTCATGCTAATTGAGCACTAGGCYTTCAAGAAAAAGGAATCCTTTCCTCCAGTCTGTAGGGCTCTGAACATAGTGGAGAGCAATGGTTTTAACTACTGCTTTAAAGGAAATGTTATAATTAGCTYTTAATTGCAGACATCATTTAGAAGCAGAAGATTGTGGTATCCTTTGGGCTGAATTTGGATACCCTAGTGTTGAATAATGTTCTGCTCTTATTCTTCTTGGTAGTAAGTTTCAAATCAGTTTTCAAAGTAACTCAGATTTTTGTGTTACAAAGAGGCTTAGGCATGGGTGGCGATGTGAGGTGGAACCAGTGGCTGAATCAGGTCTCTTGCACCTGAAACATCTCTTTCTGGTTGCAAGACACCCCTTCTCCCACTCGCTGTTCCGCTGCCCTCATAAACAAGGGTATTTTGAAGCATGTCAAGAATCAAGAGTTTGAGTAACAGCCAAGCCCATCTTATGGCTCASTGCCACCAACCTTCCCTGGCCTGTGCACTGATTCTCAGCTGGTGGCTCTGGGGCTCATTTGATTTAACTTGACAGAGAAAGCAGAACATTTTTCTGCTGTYAGTGAGCTGAATAGGTTCAAGGAAGGGTTTAGTGAGCACCAGAGGTAGCTCAAGAGACTGGGCCAGTTATGGCTGGGCAAGGAACAGCAGTGATAGGAACAGCTGCACCTTTCAGCAGAGCTTGACAGCACTGTCAAACCACAGGCAGAGTCTTGCAATCTTCTCTTTTATATTTCAGATACCAGGGTAAATGATGTGAGCCACAGCCAAGAGTTGCAGTCTGAAGTGGGACACTGCTGAAAACTACGTAAGAAAGGCTGACCCATATTGTTTGGTAGAGAAAGGGACTGGAAATCAATTCCACTTGGAAAATAGAAATTCCAGGGTCAGTCCAGGTGGAAAACCSAGAAAAGAAAGATTTTATTATAGTTTAGTCCATTCCTGAGAAGCTGAGAAGAGGATATATTGCATCCTCTGCAAAGCAATCATCCCAGTTACTCCAGGTATTGCTGGATAGGARTGGTTTGTAAAAAGGTGGCTTTACAGGCAGGAGATGGTTAATTTAATTACAGATAGACATATTTTCTGCCTCTAATTCAAATGCTGCCCAAGCACACAAGTACAGTTTGCTTGTTCTAAAGCAGTCCATTTGACCTAGATAACTTCCTCTCAAGACAAAAACTCCTCACATTCTTTTTAAAGTTCTTTCATGTTGTCCATGCAACACCCAGAGGTACAAAAGTTTTAACAAAATAAAATTAAACAAGGACTGTAAGACACATCGTACTTGACACTGAGAAACAAAAATTAWAACAGCTGACAGACATTCTAGGACTTGGCAGAAAAAATGCATTTTCTACTTAGGCTTTTGAAAATCACATTTAATGTAATGTAATGAGTAACCAGCTCAGAACTTACCTCTATGAGATTCTTGCCTTAAAAAGATGCCTAGAAGAGGTCTTGTGTGGTAATGTTATGCACTGGAAAATTTACGCAGAATKTAAATGGAAAGAGTTATTCCCAGCATTCAGAGAAAACCCCTCTTTCACTGCTCTCCATTTCCCCTCCGCTCGGTACCTCCCAGCAGCTGCCAGTCCACTCTGCTGCTTCAGAAGTCGCTTTCAACTAAGTTCCCAGTGGAGCATCTGAGATTTTTCCAAGAAAAGCTCYTGAGACTCTGAATGAACCGTCCTTTCGGCACAATCCCTGTGCCCAACAACTTTCTACATAAAAGCCCTCATTATGAATTTTGAGTCAGTGGGGTTTGCTCAGTCAGTATGTGTTGCTATCAGTCTTTCTTGACCTAGAWTAGGTGTTTCCCATATAGACTGTGCCCTAAAGCACATCCACATGCTG